CAGGGACGAGCGCGAGGATGGCCAGGCCTTGGCTACCCTGGCAGCTGCTGGGGGCTACGCTCCTATGGGCCCTCGTCGCTCCTAGCCGCTCGGCAGCAGCGACAGCCTGGGGGCCAGCGCCGCCGCCGCCGCCGTCAGACTGGCCGACCTCGCACCAGGCGCGAGAGGAGCCACGGCGGCAAGGCGGCCCCGCTCCAGGGCCGAGGTGCGGTCGGGACCGCCGAGGCGCCCCCCCGACGGCCTCGCGCGGGCAGACGGCGGGAGGATTCAGCCCTCCGACGTCACAGCCGTCTGCCCCGCCCCTTGGGGGTCGCGGAGCCGCCGCTGGGCTCACGCCAGCCGCCCTTGAGGAGAGAGAGGGCGGGGCTGTGCCAGCTTGTGCGAGGGCTGCCGCGCAGCTCCGTGCAGGCGCTGACGTGCTGGACATCTACGGCAACACATGGGACCGTGCCATGGAGGGGCTCGAGGCCTACATCGTGCGGGAGGGCGCGCGCTCGCACCTCATCGCGGTCCAGGAGGGCCCCCTTGGGCCCCGCCAGCTGGGGAATGCTAGCCGCCGAGCTCGCGGCTTGGGATACGCGGCCCCCCTGCATGATGCGGCGCCCGCTGGACAGGCGGCCCCTGCCCACTCAGGGGGCGTCGGAGTACTTGCTCGTGAGGACCTTCAGGCGCGCGAAGCTCAGTGGCGAGTGCCAGGGGACTTCAAGCACCACATGTTCGCCGAGGACCTTATCCACAAGGCTGGGCCTACGTCCAGCGCGATTTGGGCGCGTACGGTTACTGGCGTGGCCGACGGAGTGTTGTGCGGTGGGCGTGTCACCGTGTGCCTCTGTGCGGAGCGGCTCCCCCGCGGCGTGGCCCTCGGCCTCAGGATGCGGTGCGCGGAGCTCTGCAGAAGCCTCGACCTATATCCGCTCGGGCTGATCACGGGCCGCACGCCCCTGTTTCTTGCAGGATTGTTACACTCGGGCGAGCTTCCCCTGCCGACTCTCAAGGGGGCGCTCGAGACTGCAGCTGCGCGGCAGGCGTCAGCTGCGGGGCCCTGGGTGCACAGCAACTTCCACGCGGAGGCAGTTGTCCTCACCCTGGGCAGGATCGGCTGGTACTTCAGGTCCGAGCGGTGCCTCGTCACGGACGTCGGGGACGTGCTGGACTCGACGCTGCTGGGGCTGTGTGAGCTCGGCCTGGAGGCCAGCTTTGATGCGAGGCGCGCCTCGGATTGGCATAAGATGCGTAAGCTGGCCAGTGCCTCTTCTTTGTATGGTTCTTTCGTTTGGGATGCCTTCAAGGAGCTCATCGGGCCAGGTGGCAAGCTCAGCGAGCGCGAGAGGAACATAATGGCCTCCCACCTCACGTACGCACACTGGCACAGGAGATTCGAGCTCCCCATGCTCGCGGCCCAGCGGAGGGACTCGGCCTCGCCAGCGCTGATGTGGAGCGCCGTGCGGGTTCGCGCCCTCGGAGAGGCAGCAGGGGAGGACGTTGCTCGGAGCTGGTTGTCAGCGCCGCCGCCTCCTCAAGGGCCTCGCACGGACGCCATGAGTTTCTGGTGGACATGCAGGCCGCCCGACGTCACGCCCAATGGCAAGTTGTACGAGGACGGTTCATCGGTTGACCTGCAGTTCTGCGCCTTGGGATATGCAAGCTGGGCGATTGCCCAAGGCGACGACGACGGCAGCCTCATCGCGGGCGTCCACGGGACCGTCAGGAGGGTCCTCCTTCCCCAGCAGGCGGCGCGCGGCGGTGAGGACTTTGCAGCCTGGAAGAAGGTGCACTACGCGGGCCTTGCAGTCGAGGAGGCCCGCATCGACTGCCACGGCACGGCCGAGGGCCCGCGCAGGGAGCTGGCCTATGCGGCGTGCCCGACCGTGGCCAACGCCCACCTCTGGAGCAGGAGCCATGCCGCCCCCGAGCCTGGCGGATCCAGGGTGAACAAGGTTGCCGCCCACGGCAGCAGGCAAGCGGAGCTCGACGGGCGACTCACGGAGGCGCAGAGGCGAAGCACCCTGCACGCTTGCCGTTCCGCCAAGCTGGGAGCACGGCTGCACGCCGAGGACGCCCAGACCGTGGGCGAGCACTGCGCCTTGGCGGGCTTCGGCCAGGAGCAGGCCCGCTGGGTGGGCCTGGCGGCAGTCTGCGGACAGCACTTCGCGGAGAAGGACAGTTACAGCTTCCTCGTGTCCGACGAGAGGCGGCATGTGCTGTTCGCCAACCACGAGGAGCGGGTCGAGCTGCCGCTCCTTGCAGGCCGACGGCGCGGCAGCCGCGAGTGGAGTGCGTCCGCTCGGTGGCCTGCGCGGGCGGCCTCTCCATCACCGCGGCTGGCATCCGCCGCCGCTGCCACTCCCTGGCACACGCGCGCTTCGGCGCAGGCGGGGAGTCCCAGGAGCTGGAGGCGTGCGGCAAGTGCAGCGTCGGTGGCCAAGCTGGGGGCTGCCCAAAGCTCAAGGAGCTACGCATCGGCGAGAGGGCTACGGGGCAGCGCAGCCAGCGCCGCCGTCGGGATCGAAGGCTGCACCCAAGGAGTCATCTGCGCGGAGGTGTTCAGCAGCGCAGGGAGGAAGGCGCTGGGATCGCCGCGCACGGCATGTACGTGCTGGACCTCGCCGAGCGGGTGCTGCCCGCCTACGCAGCCGTGTAGGGACGCCGCGTCCGCCCTCGGCGCGGCCGCGGCCCGCGCCCCGGCGGCGAGCTCGGGCGTGTAGGCAGCCCGCCTGGAGTCGCCTTCATGGCCCCGCGAATCGAATCGAATCGACGGCGGGAACGGCGACCCACGACGACGGCGACGGCGACGGCGGACGACGACGCACTGCGGATGCTCCATGGGGGGTGGCAGCAGGTGCTGCGTGTGCCCAGGGTGGTCGTCGTCGTCGTCGACGACGATGACTACGACGACGACCCACGACGACGGCGACGACGACGACGACGACGACGACGACGACGGACGACGACGTACTGCGGATGCTTGGAAGGGGGTGTTGCGCTGCGAATACCGCTACAGTCGAAGACGCGACGACGACGACGACGACGCCAGCGATGACGACGACGATGACGACGACGCGAAGACGACGAAGACGACGCCTTGCGGATAGGATGCCCCATGGAGACCCGCTGAAGTCGACGACGACGACGAAGACGACGACAACAACAACCAGAACAACAGCAACAACTACAACAACAACAACAGCAGCAACAACAACAACAACAACAACAACCAGAACAACAACAACAACAGCAGCAGCAGCAACAACAACAACAACAACAACACATACAACAGCAACAACAACAACAGCAGCAGCAACAACAACAACAACAACAACCACAACAACAACAACAACAACAACAAACCAAAAAAAAAAAAAAAAAAAAAAAAAACAACAACAGCAACAGCAACAACAACAAAAATAACACCAACAATAACAACAACAGCAGCAGCAACAACAACAACAACAACAATAACCACAATCACTGTACCCGAACGCTCAGTGTTCTCACCAGTGCCAGGATTTTCATGCGACGCCAGCCAATACCCCCACTTTGTGGGGGGGCAGTGCAAGCTCTACCAAATATCCACACGACTCTTCGCCACCACCCACACCCAGCTTCCCGCCCTATGACGTTCGGACACTTCACTTCGTGGCCTGCGGACGACCGTGGCTACTACACTGGCGTGGAGTACACACCCACAGAAGTTGTTAAGCCTACGTTCGTACACCCACAGAAGTTGTTAAGCCTTGTTAACCCACAGAAGTTGTTAAGCCTTCCACAGAACATCTGTTGCATATGATGCATATGGTACATGATACACATGATACACATGATACGTACTCACAAGATAGTTGATCACATCTTTAGGGCAAATTCCTGAGGGATGTGGGAATACACAAGAGAGAGAGGATATGGTTGTCCCGATGGTTGTCTCGATGGTTGTCCCGATGGTTGTGGTTTTTGGAGATTTCGGCGTGCGCGCGCGAAGAAAAAACGAATGTGTCCCGCATGGTATTATTTGACAGGGATGATGGCCCTGGCAGGTGCGCAACCGTTGTCGCAGAAGTTCGAAAAAGTTGCTCGCAAAAGCCCGTTTGACAGAAATGTTTAAAAAGTGTTGGGTTTCCTACGAATCCGCAAGAGCGCGCGGGATGAGATTTTGACATTTTTTGTTGAAAAACCATTGGTTTTTTGATGTTTTTATGTTAAAATCGCTGCGAACACTAAGGTTTTGGAAGGATTTCGTCTTGCGCGCGCGAATGTCCACTTTACCTTATTTTTTGCAAGGGATTCTTGAAATTTGATTATATTAGAACAAGAAATGTTATTTTCTATTGTTTTTTGCAAGGGAAAGCGGATTACAACAAAACAACCGGATCCTGTACACACCCTCTTTTCTGAGGCTTCCTCACGAAAATGATGAAACTGTAGCTGCGGCCTAGGCGGCGCAGGGGGGGCGCGCACCAGGGGGCCCAACAATAATTATTCTTCAGAATAAATAATGTTCAACAGCAGCAGCAGCAACAACAACAACCACAACCACAACCACAACAACAACAACAAAAACAATAACAACAACAACAACAACAACAACCACAACAACAACAACAACAAGAAGAAGAACAGCAATGACAACCAGACATTATAATTATCAAAACGCAGCAGTATCGTTGACTCGTAGGGCTGAATTCCCAGGAACGGCGTGTTGGTACGATTTAGGAATGTCAGAACGCAACAAGCAGTTTGATCCAGGCACGGGCCAGCAGGCTGGCTCAGCGCAAAACTCAATGATCTTATACCCCCTGCTCCAGCCAGCCGACTCCGCAGGGCCCCACAGTCTGCCAACAAGGCGGGGCCAGTTGGAGCACCACACGGCAGCCCACGCGCACCTTTTGCTGCACGCCGCCACGCAGCCGCCCGCCACCGCCGCTCGCAGGCTGGGGGGGGTCTGAATTCAAAAGGTCGATCAGCTCTCTGGGCGAGAAACGACCCCACCCCACCCCGCTGGGCTCCGCAGCGTGAAGACCCATATGAGGGCGAGCTGCAGCAGCGCGTAGGCCTCCCCACCCGGGGGCACGCTGGCGCGGGCGATGCGGCAACGGCGGCGGCGGCAACGACGACGGCCACGACGGCGATGGCGACGGCGGACGCGGCATCGACGACAAAGGGAAGGGGGGGCTGGGGGGGGAGGAGGAGGAGGAGGAGGAGGAGGAGGAGGAGGAGGAGGAGGAGGAGGAGGAGGAGGAGAAAGGGGGGAGGGGAGGGAGAGGGGAGGAGGGGAAGAGGAAAGGAGCAGCAGCGGGGTGAAGGAAGAGGAAAGAGGGAGCAGGAGAGAAGGAGAAGGGGGAGAGACGAGAACGTGAAGGGGGGAGGAAGGACGGGGAGGACGAAGACCATGAGAATGAGGAGGGGCAAGGGAAGGTGCATGAGGAAAGAGAGACGAGAAGCAGATGGAGGTAAAAGGTCTTTCTTCTCACCCCACGTTCTCTCTCATGTATCCTCCAATCTCATCAGCGGCAGCAGCATCATCCCCACCCGCCTCGCCATAGCCATCACCATCACCATATCGTCAGCAGCAGCAACATCATCAACATCCTCATCATCCACATCATCACCAACAGCAGTATCATCATCATCAGCATCATCACCACGATCATCATCAGCAGCACCAACAACATCATCATGAGCATTCATACTTGTCAGCATAGCCGTCACCATCATGGCCATCGTTGGGGAGGCCATCCTGATCATCATCAGCAGCATCATCATCATCAACATCACCAGCATCAACAACAACATCATAATCAACAACAACAGCATCATCACCATCAGCATCATTGCTGTCATCATCATATCGTCGTCGTCGTTGTCTTTTTCGTCGCCGTCACAATCATCAGCATCAACATCACGATCGCCATCGCCATCAAAATCATCATCCGACAAAAAAATAATCAATTGAGCGGCCCTGCGCGGCGGCTTCCGCGGGCCGCCAGCGCGGCGCGCCACATTTGAGGCGAGAGCGCTTACGCGCGACCTTACGCGGGCAGCTAACGCGTCAATGTCGGCGCAGGCGACGCGTTCTGCCTTTGCGCGGTGCCAGCGTTCGACAGTTTTTGCGGCGGCAACCGTGTTACCAGAGTGTCCCGCTGCAGACAGAGGTCGTTCGGCCGTTCGCGCCAGGGAGCCCAGCTCCGCAAATGAAAACGCAGACGACCCCGGGCGCGTTCTGACCAGGGTTTCGAGGCGAATCCAGCGGTGGCAACGAGGGCCTCCGAGGAGACCCAAAAAGGGGAAAACGGGCGAAGGGCAGAGGTATGGGTACCTTTCCCTCCTCTGAATGTCGGCGCACACGACCCCGTATTTTCCTACGTCGCTCAGTTATGAAGGAGCCCTGGGACACACAAGTAAATACACAAATCCAAGGATTCTCCATATTGTCCTACATGTTCTGGGTTTTCGTCTTCCCCCCCCCATTGTCCATATGTTCTCATATTTTCCTGGGAATCGACGAGTACTTGTGTCTGTGTGTTTTCCCCCTCCTGATCATCGTCACCGTCGTCGTCGTCGTGACGGAGGGCGGTCGCTGTCGACACGGCTGGCGCCCAACAGGCGGAGGGCGGCTCCCTCTCGACAGGCACCTGCGCCCCGGCACGTTCCGCCCACCGAGCCTCGGTGCGACCACGGTGACGCACTGCGAGAACAGGGAAGGGGAGAGGAGGATCGAAAGGAGGATCGAGGGGAGAGAGAGGAGAGAGGATCGCGCATGAGGAGAGAGGATCGAGGAGGATCGCGCATGAGGATCGAGGGGAGAAAGAGGAGGATCGAAAGGAGGAGGAGGAGGCGGATCCGAATCGAAGGATTCGAGGATCCAGGAGGAGGATCGAGCATAAAGGATTGAGGATCGAGGACCGAGGAGAGGGAGCAAGATCGCAGGGGAAGCCCAAGGAGGATCCCTGATCGGAAGAGGCCCTGAACTGCGCACTGCGAGACATGGGGCACGGAATACGGCACCCTTGCAGCACGAGACCCTAAACCGTCTTGCGTAGTGCACGATAGTCGTGGAAGGCTTCACGACTTCTGCCGTCCTTCAACTCGCGCTGGAGCGGCCGCGAGTTGCTCCAACTTTCCCTGGAGATCTCTGGATCTACCTGGATTTACCCAGATGTATCTCGATGTACCTGGATGTACCTGGATCTACCTCGATTTATCTGCATGTATCTGGATTTATCTTGCTCGATCCCCACCAGTCGATTGGCGAAAAGTCGGCAAGCCCTTAAGGAGATAGGGGGGGACACGACGGGCCACAGTGGGGGGCCACGATGGGCTACTCATCTCGGGGGAACGGGCTCCCCAGCCCGGCGTCCGAAGAGGTACAGAGAACCCATCCAGACCAGCTGTTCTGGCAGAAGCACAACACGCTAGACCTGGGAATTCGGGAAAAACGTACAGCACCCCACACACGCACACACGCACACACACGCGCGCACACACACACAGACGCACACAACCACACACACACACACGCACGCACGCACGCACGCACGCACGCACGCACGCACGCACGCACACACACACACACACACACACACACACACACACACACCGCGTCCCCAGGTATTGCGAGGCATGTCTTTTCCGCAACCCCTGGTAGGTTTCTTGTCGCATCCCCTGCTCCGACCTTCGCTGAACGACTTGCTGTCGTGCCTAAGAACGTGCAGACCCCATCACCGATCCGAGCAGGGTCCATCCTGGGCACGGGATTGGCGTGTATCGGCGGTGGACAAACCTCCCTTTAGTAAACCTCCCCTTAGTGAAAACGGCCTGGGACCGAAACCGACGGACCTGGACCCGCAAAAATGACGGCCGCGACGCCCTCTCGCGAACCGAAAACGGCAAATTCTTTAATCGACGTGTCAGGGTAGGAGGTCTATCCACCTCCGAGTGTACGCCCTCCTGGCCAGGCTTGGCCACGGAGACATTGACAACAATCCTGGGCCCAGGATGGGCCCGGCCAGGATCGGTGAGGCAGTCAGTTGACGTCCCCCGTCGTGTCGTCGTCGTGGTCGTCGCCACCGCCGTCGCAGTCGTCGCCGAAGTCGTCGCCGTGGTCGTTTGGTCGTCGTGGTCGTGATCGCCGCCGTGGTCGTCGCCGTGGTGGTCAGCGTGGTCATCGTGGTCGCTGACTCCCCCGGATCGTGGGGCCACGGGGATCTCAGCCCTCTGCGGGCGGCGCGCACAAGTGGGAGGGGCAACGAAAATTTAAACGATTCAATAAATACCAAACAGGACACAAAACAGATTCGAAGCATCGTCCCCCGACTATATTTTACTATTTTAGAATATTACCCCTGTAGAGGGACAGGCGCGACTAGCCCTACCCCCCCTCTGCGCGTGGCCGCCTCCCCCCGGAATCAATTCTTCGTTATGGGCCGCTTTCTGGCAGTCCCGCTTGCTCCATCCGGGGGGGCGCAAACATGGATTAGCGATCCATGGACGTGGCGCGCGGTCGCCAAATCCATGGATCGGGGAAGGTGCCCTCCCCAAAATGCGGCCGGTGCCGCCTCGCTCGGCGGCGGAAATCCGCGATTCCCCATGGAAACGGAACCCGTCGCTAATCGCCGCCCCATTGATCCATGTTTGCGATCGCCTGCTCCATGGCGACCCCTGAGATCCGACGTCGAGAGAAGCAGCTGGGTTGCTTCTGGGAAGCCTTCCCCCCTCCCCCCTACCCCCTCTGCGCGAGGCCGACCTCTGGCCCACCCAACCGATACCGACTCAGTATCGTTTGACCGATCCCTGTGCCCATCCCCATCCACATCTCGAGCCCCACCGTCTCACCGCCTCAGTTGGGGATATGCCCTTCGAAACCCGAAGAGAGCAGCCTATATTCCCATCCAGGGGGGTAAATCGGCCAGTGGGGCCCAGCCCACGCTGGTGGGGATGGGGATCGGTTAAACGATGCTCACCGACCCAACCGACGGCGAAACCGATACCGACCCAGATCGACGGACCAAAAAAAGCAGCCCAGAAGGGCGCAGCGACGCGGCGAACCGAATTGACCGAACGCAATCGACTGCGACGCAACCGAACCTCGCCGTCGCTCGCACGTCCATTCCCCGTGCATCGATCGGCTTCGTGCGTGCTTTTCGCTAACCAGCCTCGAACTTATCCCTATCCCTAAGATGGGCGAGCAAAAAGCGAGGACAACCTTAGGGATGCGCCCTCAGAAACAGAGGGAGTCCTTAAGATCGGGATCGAGGTGAGGTGATACCAAACACCGGGATAGGGTTAGGGATATGTTCGGTTTCAAACTGGTAATTTGCTGCTAGATGATCCAGGATCCTCCCCGACGGTTCTCGCCGAGAAAATATGCACACGTCCGAGCGATGCCTCAAGGACCCGACCGAACCGTGTACACGCTTGCCTTTGGCCCTACCCCCAGGCCCCCCGAGCCCTATGTTGCTCCCATCCGACTTTAAGGACCACATCCCAGAAACAACTTCGAGCGCCGAGAAAACCATCGAAAGAAGTATCGAACGAGAATCGCCTCCCAGGGCCCGACACGCAAAATCCCTCCAGCTTCTGTACTTTCCTGGTGCTCGATTTTTTTCTGGTGCGCGAGCCCGTGGAGGAGGAGGAGCAGGAGCAGGAGCAGGAGCAGGAGGAGGAGGAGGAGGAGGAGGAGGAGCAGGAGCAGGAGGCGGAGGAGGACGACGAGGAGGGAGGAGGAGGAGGAGGAGGAGGAGGAGGAGCAGCTGGAGGAGGAGGAGGAGCAGCAGGAGCAGGAGCAGGAGGCGGAGGAGGACGACGAGGAGGGAGGAGCAGGAGCAGGAGGCGGAGGAGGACGACGAGGAGGGAGGAGGAGGAGGAGGAGGAGGAGGAGGAGGAGGAGGAGGAGGAGGAGGAGGAGCTGGAGGAGGGGGAGGAGCAGGAGCTCAAGGCCAAAGCAGGCTGGAGCATCACGACCCGAGCCCGTGGCAGGCCCTCGAGGAGGCCCTCGCCGCTCCGCTTCCCCGGGGGCGGCGGGGGGGGCCCGCGGGGCGCCCTGGGCCCAGGGGCAGCAGGGGCGCACGGGGAGCCCGCCCAGGGGCAGCAGGGCCCGCCCAGGGGCAGCAGGGCGCACAGGGGGCCCGCCCAGGGGCAGGAGGCCTGCCCAGGGGCAGCAGGGCCCGCCCACGACGGGCCCAAAAAAGCGAGGGAGCGCGGGGCCGAGGGAGGGGGACGAGGGAAACGGAGACGAGGGGGGCGAAGACGAAGAGGAAGAACGATAGGTAAGCGTCACAAGGAGACGAAGCAAAAAAATGAGAAAGAGAAGAAGAAGAAGAAGAAGAAGAAGACGACGAAGAATAAGGAGGAAAGAAAAAGAAGAAGAAGAAGAAGAAGAATACGAAGAAAAAGAAAGCGCAAGCCTCCCAAACCACTGTCAGAGGTCCGCGCGGACTTCTTGGATCCGCGCTGCGCGCCGTGGGTTCCAGCGCAAAGCCAGGAAATCCACGCAGGAGTCCAAAGTCGATCGCGCGTCTTGTTCGAAGGTTCCCAGCCTGTGACGCGGCCCCTAGAGCTGCATGACCCGGACTCTCCCAAGGCCTGGACCTCTGGCAGAGCAAGACGGCACCCTCCCCCTTTTCTGGCGGGCGCGCGCCACGCAACAAAGGAGCGTTTAATCAGATTCGCATGTTGGAGGGCGGGACGAAGTATTCGCATCATCAGTGCTACGCGGTCGGGTATCATCCTACTTTTCCTCCTCCTCATCCTCCTCCTCCTCCCCCTCCTCCTCCTCCTCCTCCTCCTCCTCCTCCTCCTCTTCTGCCTCCTCCTCCTCCGCGTCCTCCTCCTCCTCCTCCTCATCCCTCCATCCTCCTCCTCCTCCTCCTCCTCCTCCTCATCCTCCTCCTCCTCCTCCTCCTCCTCATCATCATCATCATCATCAGATCATCATCATCATCATCATCATCATCACCATCAATCATCCTCAGCATCAGCATCATCATCATCATCATCATCATCAGCAGCATCATCATCATCATCGGCATCATCATCATCATTTTTTTTGCCGTCCACGGCTATGTCTCAGGACTGATTTGAAACCTGGCAGAGCGAGACACCCCTGGCAGGATAAAACGGGGCTCGGTCCGATTCGCTCGAAAACCGAGTCCTGGAGGGCCCCGAGAAAAGAACACGCGCAGCCTCATCCTCCTCCCCCCACCCCTCCGAAGCAGCGAGGGCCCCGCCTGGCGGGGCACGCTGCACGGGCCGGCCCCCAGCGGCAGGGGCCTGACCTGACCTCGCCCCTGAGGGAGGGACGAGGGCGGGAGGGGAAGGGAGGGGAGGCTCACGAGGGAGCGGGGATGAAGTGAGACGACCGAGCGACGCCGAGACAGGTAAAGAGCAGCCAGTCTCTACCACCACGTGTGGTTTATCTGGATGGCTGCCCTTCTGGATCTTTCTCCAGTTCTTGTGACCTGTGACCGTCGGCGGCTGACACACTTGGCCCAGCTTCTTGACCTGGGCCCCAGAACTATAACTCCTGCAGTGCAGGCAAGTGAACAAAAATGAGTTATCGGAGCAGGCTAGAGCGATGACTTTATGCCCCAACCTGTCCAACACTGCAGAGTCGAGCCTGGAGTGGCCCCTGCACCCCCCTGGATCAGGCGGGCGCTTAGAGAGGGACCCTAGGAGGCAAACTCTGCACCTCCAAACTGAACCGATGAGTTCCCATTGGTGCTGCAGCCGATGCACGGCAGGGGCAGGAGGACGAGGAACACGCTCCACCCCGAGGAACTCCACACGAGGCCAAAGGGGGAGGAGGGCAGCACCAAGGGACATCACCGTCTTAGACACCTTAATGTTCCAGTCGAGCTCCTGAGACAGACTGGGGTCAAAAGCAGGGTGTCGGGCGACTGCACGCTTGGCTCCAGCATCTGCTAGCTCGTCGCCATCCCTCAAAAATCTGTCATCCTCAGAGAGATCAGGGGCATCTGGATCGAGGTGGGCATCGACTTTGGCCAGAGAGCGCAGCTTCCCTTGCCCCAAAGACAAGCCTTGCAACATGAGCCCTGAATAAACCCTCTTGAGAGACTTGCACACGTCGAGGCCTAGGGAGTACTGCTTAACGACATTAGCGCAGTCACTGTAAGCGTCAGCCTGGCCCCCTACACACACGCCAATGCCACAAAAGGCAGAATACTCAGCAGCCTGGGGCGACTGCGCGTAGGGGGGCCAAACTGGGGCAGAAACTTCACAGACTAAGTTGGCCTCGGGGTCCACCATGGCAACACACCAAGCGCTCCTGCAGAGTTCGGACACAGGGTGGCGGATGCAAGAGCCATCTATAAACAAGGACCCCCAGACCCCTAAGTCAGGAGAGGTAGGCGTGGGACCCAGGGACCCAGGGATAGTGACCTCAGGGACCATCCAGTTGACCAAGACTTCTCCATTGCTCTCGGGCCGAGGGAAGTAGTCACCAGGGTGCCGAAAGGCTCCATCTATCCAGAGAGTGGTCTCGTAACCCTCAGAAGCAGTGTCGAGGGCACTGGCAATAATCTCAGCATCAGCAATTTCTTCACGCACAGAAGAGCACGAAGGGCACTCCCAAAGACGGTGCCACAATGTGTCAACCTCGGAGTGGCACAGCTGGCAGATGTCGCTAATCTGGTAGCCCGCTAGCATCGCAGAACTGGCGGTCCAAATGGCGTTACAGGCCAATGCGCGCATTGTCGACCTATCCTTAGGGCTGGTGCGTTTGGACCTGATACAGGATTTGACAATGTCCCAGCAGAGCCTGTGCTCGACCCCCAGCTTCTCCCCCGAAGACCGTTCGAGCCCCCTCAGAACGGCAGCCCGACACAAAGCCCCCACAAGGCGGGGGGACAGCAGCAGGAGCTGGAGGGTCTCACCCAGGTCAGAGATGATGGTGCAGAAGTCTGTCATCTGCCACCCTAAACGGTATAAAGACATCCTGAGGGCCGAGACAGGACCCCTCACCTTGGCCCAGGACCAGTCAGCCTTGCCGAAGGTGACTTCCCAGGCCGAACGCATCGAAGCAAACGACAGGGCCCCATCAAAAGCCTTAGTCTGCACCAGCCACAGCTCTTTGCACCAACGAATGATAGGGGCCACACTCGCTCTCCAAGGGGGGTCCCCTTCAAGGAGAGAGAGGGTGGTGAGGGAACGGTGCTGGGACTTGGGAGAGATAGTGGCCATGCCCTTACTCCTGAGCGAGTGGAGCTCGCGGTCCGAAACTCCCCAAATTTCAGACCCAAAGGTGACGCCCGCCAGCGGGCCCGACGCAAAAATCACGACAGCGGACCTGCCCAGGTTGCTTTTGCGTTTGTCGAGGCGCCTGCATTGACGAAAAAACTTGGCCAGACGAGCCTTGAACTTGGCTGATTTACCCTTTTTTGAGCCTGGGGTCGTGGTGCGTAATGAGCGGCCCGCCGTGTAGTCAGTACCCAAATTGACCACCGAGGCCGAGGGCTTGCCGCGCAACTCTCCCAGTCGCTCCTCGAGCTGAATGGCAATTGACTTGTGGCTGCATACACATCCCACTTTGTCGAGCGCCAGCACACAACCTAGCTCTTGGGTGACAGCCTTGTGTAAGCTGACAGAGGAAGAAACTAGTGCCTCAACGACTTCGGGGACCGTGCCCGTGTGCGAGAGGCACGTGTCATCAATGTAGGCGTCGAAATCAGTGCCACTAGCCAAGCCATTGCACAACTTATCGAATGCCTTAAGAGCGAAAACTCGGATGAACGAAGTGGCCATCGAGCACCCGGCTACGACCCCACAACTGACCCAGTACGGCCCCTCGATGATGCCCCCAAGGCTGAGAAACCTGCACGAGCGATAGGCCGCCATGGCGACCCTGGTGATGACTACGGGGAAGTCGAGGCATTGGCACTGATTCTCGAGGAAAACAAGGGAGATGCTCTCGTAGTACTTCTGAAGGTCATAAAAGACTGACCCTGAAGTGAGGCCCTTGGAAACTCCCGCTTCGGCTTTGAAGCTCTGCCTCCAGACAACATCCGTGGCGCCCCGATTGGCTCCAGCAGCCCAATAGGGCCTCGCGAACTTCTTTTCCCAATCGAGAGCGAAAGGCCTCCTGGCTCGGCCCCAAAGCCGATGCCACGAAACAAAAACGCCGATGGGCCTGAAGCCCCCGACAGGTTTGGGCAGGAGGGCCAAAAGAACAACCATTAACTGATTAGGAAGCCTCCCCGTGGCTTCGATGACGAAAAGGAGACCCGAGAGAGCAATGAGGGCGGCGTCACACAAAAACGAATAATGACGCAGGTGGAAACCGTCAACCGAAACCGCACTCTGTTTACGGTAGGTCTTGCAGACCTGGCGGATCTCATCAGGGGAGAGGCGGGGCAGGGGGGTGACCAAGCGAACAGGGCCCGCAGGAGGCCCGCTCCCCTCCCCCCACCACGCCTGAAATCGCTGCCCTTCGGCAGACAAAAGGGCCCTGGGGTCCGCCACAATTTGGCCGTTCGCAGCAATGGTGACCGAGGGAACCCAAGGAGTGGGGTCTCTAAGAACGCGATGGGCCCGCCTGCCCCCTTTGTCCAAACCTTCTTGGAGCCATTCTCGCCAGCGGCGCTTGTTAGCCTTAGCAAAGTCCTTAGCGGCCTCCTCTAGGCACGGCGCGAGAGATGCGAGCAGCTGATCAACATCAGCCACGCAATCCGAGAAAGCAGGCGGGGACCGCGTGTCCTGATCCGCCTTGTCCTGACACTGATTATCGAGCGCGACGGGCAAAACGGGGGGAGGAGGAAACGCTCCAGACGGAGCAGAGCAAACGGACGAGTGCTTGCGACCAGCCAGTCGATCAGCACAGGAGGCAGCTAAGCTGGTGGCACGTTGAAATAGTCCAGCATGACAGGCACGAGCCGTGCCAGCGCACGGCGGCGGAGAGCACAAGGCCTTGATGCACCGTAGTGGAACGTTGTGTGCTGATACCTCAGATCTCAAGGCCTTGAGCTGGGTCTCCAACCACTTCAGACCGCGGGAAACGGGGTCCTTGGAAGGAGGACACGCCTGGCAGATGGGCTTCCAAAACGTCTCAATAGTTTTTCCGCGGGACCCATAGACAGGGAGGTCGGCCCCCAGGACCCGCGCAAGATCAAGTTCAGCTCTATTCGCCCAGAGACCGTACCCTTCAGAGAGCCGGGCAGCAGCCCCGTCACCGTCCCCAAGGGACACTCTGTCCACAGCAGTATTGACCAGGTCAAGCACCAGATCCCAATCAGTGCTGCACTCCTGCGGCCTGGGGCCGAACGGGGGGTCCACAGGCAAGGGCGGCGGCTTGCGAAAGGCGAGAGCCTTCAATTGACGCAGACGGGGGTGAAAAGTGAGCGACACGGGGCGGTGGGGGTTGAGCGTCGTGTCCAGACGGACTTTGGCCTCGCTGAGGCCCTTGGCCAGGGGGGACGAGACCACGAAGTAGTCAAACTTGGCTGGGTCACCCAAGGAAGGATAGTGGGTATTGTCGGGGGTGGTGATCAGGAGACCCCCCACAGCTTTAGCAAATCCCATGCCTTCTAACAAGTCTGGCCCGAAGTTAAAGTCCCCACCTATGATGTAATCCTCCGACTGACTGCTCACGAACTCCCCCAGGTCGCTGAGGATGCCCCCGTTGGAGGCGTCGGGCCGCACGGAGTGGTGAAGATAAAGAGAGACCAGCAGTAACGCTGGGCTGTCAGGAGCGCGACACTTGCAGGCTAGGCAGCGGCCCCGAGCAATGGCTGGGGAAGGCACAGAGTGGAGCCCAAGCCAAGACCTGGCAAAAATGGCCACACCCGCACTGTCTCCACCTTGCGGGCCTGGAACTGCAGCAAGCCAGATGGACTTCCAGCCCGCACGAATCGCAGAGGCGGAGGCACGGTCTATCGGCTCAGGGCCCCTGAGGCGGTGTTCTCGGCAAAGGATGATGTGAGCCGAACAGTCGGGATCCTCCAAGAAGTCTTTCATCGTGCCCCACTTGTTGCAATTGACAGACCACACCTCCAAGGCCACACTGTCGACGCCCCTTTGGCCCTTACCTGGGCCCTGGGCCCTGGCCAGGTTGGGGGGAGAGAAGCAGCTGGACTTGTCGACTGGCCAAAGTGAAATGGGCTGAGCCACGAACGGACTGGCAGACAGAAATGAGCAAAACTCCTTTTTCAGCCTCCTGCTGGCGGCAGGCGTGCAGAAGCTCCTGGGAACATCGCTAGGAACACTCATCCAAGCGTGAATCTCCAAGAGAAAACTGTCGAGCTCAGCGAAGCTGCGCTTCATAAACGGCAAGAATTCTCGCAAAACTGCGGAATCATTTTCCCCCTCCCTTCCCAGGGAGGGGGAGAGGATTGGAAAGCTCGTCTGCAACCAGGGTGCGAATGTCAGGCTCAGGAGGCTCAGGCCGCGACCCCGACGAGGACGCGCACGACGGCCCTGCCCCTGTGGACTGACCAGACCCTTCACCTGCAGCAGCTGCTTCGCCTCCCAGCGTAGCGGCGTCTGAGACGTTGCCAGCACCAGTCTTGCGCTTCTTGCCAAGCCTTTCGAGGTGCGTGGTGTGCTGCTCCTTGGCCTCCTTGATGTTTGACAAAGCGTCTTGGAACAATGACTTGGCTGCCTCTCGCACTTTCTCGGACAGCTCATCCTTGCGCTGTTGAATCCTTACGGTCTTGCTCCTCCAGGTCGTAGGCGCCATCAGCAACTTCGAGCACGTCAGTCGAGATGACCTGGTCGATGGAGACGGTGCCGCCCACCAGCTGCTCGAGAGTGACCTGGGCCACCGCTGCGGGCGCAGGCTCAGAAGGCACCTGCAGCCGCAGCTCCAAAACGACTTTCTTGTAAGCGGCGCCGGCCTCGCCCAACTCAGAATGAAGCTCAGCCACTTTCTTGCGCTGCTCCTCCAGCTCAGCCCTCCAGCGATTGAGCTTCGCGAACTCGACCTGAAGTGCCCGCTCCTTGCGGCGGACAGCAGCATGGGCGGACTGAACTTGCTGCTGCAGAGACGGCGCAGGGGCGCGCTCCGACTTGTCGAGGGAGACGGCGATGGCACGGTACTTAGCTGCCAGCTGCTCTTCTCCAGCTTTCGAGTGAAGGTCGGCGAGCTGCTTGGCTTCGTCGGCGGACAAGCGGGGCACAGGACCAGGCGGCAGAGCTCCGTGTGGAACGTCGAGAAGAGCCGCCGCACGAGCACCTTTGCCTGCGGATGCAAGCTCAGAGCCCTTGCCCTCGCCCTTCTTGCCCTGGCCCTTGCGCCCTCCCTTGCCCTTGCCGCCCATGCGCACAAGTGCCTCAACCTCCTCTTCAGCAGACCCGAAACCTCGCGCCCATGCACCAGAGGCAGGCTGGACAGGGGCGCCTTGAACCTTCGGCAGGTCGGAATGACAATGCTTGCACCACTTGAAGTGCGGCAGGTTGCGACGGCAGCCGCAGGACGGACAAGCACTCTTGGACTGTGGAATGTGATGCACAGCGCCGCCACCTCCCCCCTGCCGAACCCACGGGTGATATACCCAAGCGTCAGCGCCGAGAGAAGAAGCGTTGCGCGCCATCGCACACGAGTACAGAGAGTGCTAGAAACGAACGTGATGGTTGAAAAGGTGGGGCAAGCCCCAGTAAGGATATCAGAAGAACACTGAAGATCGAGATGGGGCCGCAAATCCCCTTGCCACAAAAACTCTAAGTCCTCTGAGCCACCGCTACGGACTTGAGCCAAAATGGCTACGGACATCATCATCATCATCATCCTCTCTCCTTCCTCCTCCTCTCTCCTCCTCCTCCTCCTCCTCCTCCTCCTCCTCCTCCTCCTCCACCTCCTCCCCCTCCTCCTCCTCTCCTCCTCCTCCTCCTCCTCCTCCTCCTCCTCCCCCTCCTCCTCCCCCTCCTCCTCCTCCTCCTCCTCCTCTCCTCCTCCTCCCCCCTCCTCCTCCTCCTCCTCCGCCTCCTCCTCCGCCTCCTCCTCCTCATCCTCCTCCTCTTCCTCCTCCTCCTCCTCCTCCTCCTCCTCCTCCTCCTCCTCCTCTCCGTAGCCATTTTGGCTCAAGTCCGCAGTGTTTCACTCAAGGACTGAGTTTTGGCGCGCGGGAGCAGCGGCCCCCGAAGGCTCTCGTACCTCCTCTCTGCCTGCCCTGGCTGGAGGTACCTCTTTTTTCACGCGCTACTTCGGGAACGTACGCTTCCCTTTGCAGTCACTTGTTACATCACCTTGCTGCCGCGGATGTCTCAGGGAGATGGACGGGCACAGAAGACGAGCAGACATGCCCAGAGACGTCGGGCGGAGGCGACGGATAATGTATGTCGATGGTGCGTCCACCCAGTGTCGGGCGCGGCATGGTGGAACAGATCGGATAAAGTATCATGTCAGAAGTGTGGAGTTGCCAAGGCCTCTTCTTTTCTGGAACCTCGGTTCAAGCACACGGCGCCTTCGCAGAAGCAGCAGCGTGCAGACCGAGCGGCCACTGCCGAGCAGCCGCCGCCATGGCATGCGCGCAAGGTCGCGGAGCTGGAGAAGCAGCTGGCGGCTGCGCGGCAGCAGCTGGCCACCGGAGGGAAGTCTGAGAGCAACGCGATGGAGGTCGACGTCGAGAGTGGAGAGCTGCCGCCGCAGACCCCCGCTCAGATCCGTGTTCGGCTGGATGAGATCGATGAGGCCACGCGGGCAATCAAGGACCTCAAGGACCCCTGCTTCGAGAAGGCTAGGGAGGACTACGAGGTGGAGCGCAAGCGGCTGCGGATGGACTTGGAGGCGTCCAAGCCAGTGCCTGCGCAGCTGCGTTCTCTGTCATTCCAGTCGGCAAAGTGGAACACCAAGAAGGCCAAGCACGAGGGCCTGCTGGCGGCCGCCAAGAAGGAGTTGCAGAAGCTGCAGGAGACCATCCGTGAGCAGGAGCAGTTGGTGGTCGAGGCTGAGCAGGCTATACTGCAGATTGCGGAAGAACAAACCAGGCTGGCGTCTTCGGTTCCGAGGCCTCCACCGACCGCTACCGAGGCAGGCGAGCTCGTGGCAGCCCTCGGCATCACGGTCGACAAACTGGGAGGCATCTTGGCAGGACTCGGAGACGACGGTCACTTGCAAGCGAAGTTGGACTCGGCCTTGGAGGAGGCACGGGTACTGGAGGAGCGCAGGAGACAGGGGCGGACGACACCCGAGGCAGCACAGCACGAGAACGCTGAGCCGCAGCGGGAGGCCGCCCCTCACGGTGATGCCAGGTCTGAGCCTGGAGGAGTCGACGTACCAACACCAGACGACACGGACCTGGAGGAGCTGCGCGCTTTCCTGGGGCGCGCTGGTGTTGCTGTGCAGCCCGAGGCCGACGAGGCAACGATCCGTGGGAGCGTTCGCAAGCTGGCCGAAGGGCTCAATGAATGGAGAAGTGAGAAGCGTGCCAAGGTCCAGGTCCCCGCCTAGAGAGGGACTCCTTGGGCGCGCACACGATGCGGCTCGGCACACCTCGCGGCACGCACTCTGGTAGCATGCTTGATAGGCCTGTTTCGTACAGTGAGTGCTATGCCGTCGCTGGGCACGGTAGCAGGGTCGCTTGCTGCGAATCCACTGTTTCAGGAGCCTGGCGGCAGTGCTGCTGATGTGGAGGTGGCCAGGGCGCGCTGCCTGGGTCGGAGCGGCGGCGGCAGTGCCGAGGGCCGCGGCAATGGACGCGGAGGACGAGCCGCGGACGCGCGGGTGGCCGATGCCTCGTCCCACGTCCGACCTCCTGCTCGAGACGTCGACGGACGTAGCGCCCCGAGCGGGAAGGTAGCCGCGGCCCAGGCGAGTCCGCAGCCGCTCGACTCCAGGCCCAGACAAGGTGCTGCACGCGATGGGCCAAGCCATGGCGCTGGAGGCCTAGCGGCCGAAGGCCGTGGCAAGGGGCGAGCTAAGCGAGCCGCGGACGCGCGGGTGGTCGAAGCCTCGCTTCTCGCCCCTGTGCTCACTCGGGCCGTCGACGGACGGAGCGCAGCCCCGACTGGGGCCCTGGCACGCAGGCTGGCGCTGGCGGCGAGCACTGCCCGGGTCGGAGCGGCGGTGGCAGCGCCAAGGGCCGTGGCAAGGGACGGAGAGGACGAGCCGCGGACGCGCGGGTGGTCGCTGCCTCGTCCCACGTCCAACCTCCCGCTCGAGACGTCGACGGACGTAGCGCCCCGAGCGGGAGGGCAGCCGCGGCCCAGGCGTGTCCGCAGCCGCTCGACTCCAGGCCCAGACGCGGTGCTGCGCAGGATGGGCCAGGCCATGGCGAGGGAGGCCTAGCGGCCCAAGGCGGTGGCAAGGGGCGTGCTAGGCGAGCCGCGGACGCGCGGGCGGTCGATGCCTCGCCCCACGCCCCTGGGCCCACTCGGGCCGTCGACGGACGGAGCGCAGCCCCGAGTGGGACCGCGGCCACGGAGCAGGCTGGCAACAAGGGCAGCATCGTGACGTTGAATTGCTCGTCCGAGAAGCAGCTGCTTGAGTACATGGTGCACTGCAATCACACAGTGGTCGCGGTGCAGGAACATCACGTTGCTCATGATGATCTGGCGGACGCACAGCACCGCTTGCTGGACGCGGGCTGGAAAGGCATATGGGCAGCGGCCAACCACACAGGCAACGGTGGCACGCAGGCAGGGCTAGCAGTTTTGGCCAGGCCGAACGTCATGATCACGCGCGGGCCGTGCATGAACGGACAGGCCGTACTGGCGGGCGGTCGAGCCTTGCCCGCTCAAGTACACTGGGGAGTCCCTGGTGGAGTGGTACTGGTTCCAGTGTATCTTTATGTCAATGAAGGTTGGTCTGACAATAACCTACACATCATGCAAGAGGTCAGCAGCTATTTGGAAATATTGAATCATGCAGGCTACGATTGGATTGTGGCAGGAGATTTCAACATCGAAGCGTCCCAGTTCGGTGATATGCGGTGGCTACACGGGCTTGGTGGTATGCTTCGGGCTCCAGCTGCGACCACATGTAGACAGGCTATGCCTGGTAGTTGCATCGACTATTTCCTCACGTCGTCTAACTTGATGACACGAGTAGAGCAGCCGTGCGTTCAGGAGGCGGCAACCACCTTTCCACACTTGCCAGTGTATATGCATATCAGTGGCAAGGACATCCAGTTGTTTCATCGTGAGCTGCGTGGGCCGCGTGCCGTGCCCAAGCAGCCGAAACCAGGCTGCTCGAGGTTTCCACTATGTTGGCATGGAGTGGCACGTCTTATAGATGCCGCGTGCGACGATAGCAGTCTGCAAGTGGCATGGGATGCTGTGTTGAGCCAAATTGAATTAGAGCTGCTTGCCAGGCATGGCGTCGTTGGCACCAAGGCCGAGCCGTTCGTTGGAGCATGTGGCCCAGTAGAATTTGTGAAGGTCAAGCTGCAGTGGCAACCACAGCAGAAACGTTCATACTTGTCTAAAGCAGCCAATGCGTGGTGCGTCGCAGCCAGGTGGGCACGACATATGCGTAGGGCGAAGGAGGCTATCATTAATGTCACGGCGCAGGCAAGTCAGCAGCAAGTGGCAGGTGCGTCAGACATGGCCCATGTTCACAAGCTGTCGAGTTTGATGATTGAGCTAGGCCGCTGCTTGGCGAAGGTGCTGTCTGAGACGGCCGTGCTCAGCGAGCTCGACAGCTGGGCGTCGGACCTCTTTCTCTTGGGAATGGAGTTCCTTGTCCATCCAGAAGTAGATGCAGTGCTGGATGCAATCGAGGCCAAAGCAACGGAGCTTGCTGAGGCACACAGCCAGAAGACCGCCATAGCCTGGAGGGACTGGGCGGCAGCCAGCTTTTCTAACGGCGCGCGCTTCGCGCATAGGCACACGAAAGGGAGAGCGTTGCAGGAGGTGGTTAATGCAAACGTGACCGTTCGCACGCCTGCCCAGCCGTATCAGTTAGCCGATAAGGCCATGAGGGATTGGGAGGAGATCTGGTCGATGCACGATGCCGCCGCCCCACAGTTGCCAGCTGAAGCGAAGGACTGGGAAGAGCTCCCACCTTTGACTGTGCAGGACTTGCAGCGCGCCATTCTTCAGTTTCCATGGGCGACGGGAGTCGGCCAGTTCAAATTGCTCCCCGCAGTTTAATTTTTCTGAGCAACTCAGGCCTGGCGGCCTTAGCGAAGCTTTTCATGAAGTGTGAAAGTCTCTTGATCTGGCCATCACGCAGACTGCTGACGCAGCTTGTTCGCCTCCCCAAGGCGTCGGGATGGTGTAGGTTGATCGCGCTCTTGAACACGCTCCTGAGAGTTTGGGGCAGAGCCCGCAGGCCCATTGCGGCCGCCTGGGAGGTGGAGCACGACCTTGATTGTTTCTG